AACTTTCTCTTTCCTTAACATTAAAAAAAAAAATTTTTTTTTAAGTTTTCTATAAGGCATGTGTGCTCACCAGAGAGAGGCAGAGAGAGGGAAATGAGAAAACAAGTTACTCAAGTCCAGGACTTGAACTGTTGTCAGCCTGAGTCCAGTGGTCTGACCATCACGCCACCTGCTGGACCCCTTGAACATTTTTTAGTACCATTCTGAATTCATTATTATCATAGAGAGGGGTGATATGTATATAGACATTGTTGTTTAATCACCTTAACTCTTCTATTCCCTCCTATTCTTAAAGAACCTATTGTTCTGGTGGGACCAGCAGGTGGCCTGGTGGTTAAGGTGCTAGTCATTCCCACATGGCCAACCATGGTTAGTCTAGGACCTGGTAGCTTGTTTTCTCACTTTCCCTCTCTCTCTCTTTCTGTGTGTGTCTCTCTCTGGTCAAATTAAAATAAGTGAATGAATAAATACAACTAAATGATTTTAATAAAAAGAACCTATTGTTCTGGGATCAGCAGATGGTGTAATGGTTACGTTGCTGAATGCTCACGGAATCACAACAGTTCGAGTCTGAGACCCTGCAGCTTAAACTCACACCAGTGCATGTTCACATGTGCCCCAAATCCTGAGAACAGAGGAGAAGGGGCTGCGGCATGATCATCCCCTCTGGGGGGCGATTTCTCACTTTCTGTCTCTCTGTTTCTCTCTGACTCTCCAGCGAGCGCACATACCCAATAGCAAAAACCTTTACACACACAAAAAAAAAAAAAAGAAAAAAAAAAGAAAAAAAGAACCTATTGTTCCAGGAGGCAGGTGGTGTGGCAGTTAAGGTTTGGACTCCCACACGGTTTGGGTCTCAGACCTGGCAGTTGGCTTTTCACTCTCCTTTTCTCCTCTCTGTCTCTCTCTGGTTCAACTGAATAATAATAATAATAATAATAATAATAACAAATTAAAGAAACAATTCCACACAAAAAACCTGTTGTTCTTAGGCCAGAAGAACAAATCCAAGAAAGATTCGGTGGGGAATCGTGAGGGCACAGGGCATCTCATTTCAGATAACACACCAGCAAAGTGCTATAGAATCTCTGAGATACAGAGAACACATGCTGGGAAAGGCTTCCCCTGCCCTTTGCTCTCAGTAGTGAAAGCAGCTTGGGATCATTTCAATTTGCTAAAGATTCTTAGATAATGTAGAGCCATATTTATATTTTGCTTGTATAAAAGTCTCCTGTTTCCTGTCACTTACTAACTTTTGGGTTTATTCCAACTACATAGAGACTTAAGACTGATTTAATAGGAATCTGTTACAGATCCATTGTAAGCAATAACTTTGCAAAAAACAGTAAAATATCTTTTGTAAGTTAGACAGTCACTATGATCCAGTGTCTTCTCTGCCTTTAACTTTTTAAAATAATTAAATATTTTAAAATTATTATTCTTTTTAAATTTGCTATAGGGCACAAGTGCTCACTAGAGAGAGAGAGAAAGAGAGAGAGAGAGAAATCAAGCTTCCAGGTGTGAGATTTGAACTGTCATCTGCCATGTGGGAATCTGGCACCTCAACCACCAGGCCACCTGCTGGCCCCTTCTCTGCCTTTTATTAATAATATCCAAAAAGCAAGGGCCAGCAGATGGTGTAATAGTTATGTCACTGGGTTCCCACATAGTCAATAGCAGTTCAAATCCCAGACCTAGTGACTTAGAACTCACACCATGCGCAAGTGTGTGCATGCCCAAATCTCTACAGGAGAAGAGATCGCAGTGTGGCCATTCCCACTGGGGGGTGATATCTTGCTTTCTGTCTCTCTGTCTCTCTCTCTCTCTTCAGTGAACGTGCATGCCCTACAGCAAAAACTGTCTAAAAAAACCCAAAAGTAATAATAAATGTCCCCAAAATAAATCTAATTAAACGCATCCTAGAAAGAAATGTCTGAAATACTCAAAGGCCAGGAAGCAAAGGGATGTGAGAATATCCGACAAACTCAACAGCATTACACACGAGGTCCATCATCCCAAGAAAGCGACTGTCGCGGCCAGGACAATGGCCCCGGGGGGAGGTCCTCGGGCGCCCCCCCAGGGCCTCCTTGAGCACTCTGGGTGCACATACATGGGCCCATAGTCACGGGCCCATGGTCAGGCCGCTGAAGATGGAAGTGGGCATGGCATGAAGATCCTGTTGGGAGTGCTACCCCCTCCCTCCTTTCTGCCTTCCTCTGTCCCTCTCTCTGTCACAGAAGAAATAAAATAAACTTAATAAAAGAGACTTCCACTTATTATAATTTGTTTTTCAGTAAGCAAATATTTCCTTTGTAATAAAAAACATCAACCAAAATGTGTTTGTCAGAATAAAAATTAAGAGGTAGGGACCAGCAGTTGGCGGAATGGCTATGTCGCTGGACTCCCAAGTAGTAGACCGTGGTTTGAGTCCCGGACCTGGTGGCTTAAACTCATGCCGAGCACATGTGCGTGTGTGCCCAAGATCCTGAGAGAAGAATGGAGGAGAGGGGATTTCGGCATGGCCATCCCCGCTGAGGGGTGATTTCTCACTTTCTGTCTCTGTCTTTCTGGCGAGCACACAGGCACCCCAAAAAAAAAAAAAAAAAAAAACCCTCTCAAAAAAAAAAAAGAGGTAATCATCTGCTTCCTACTGTTGTTTTGCAAGCTGTATCAGTTCTGATCTACTGAAGAAAACAAACTGAGGGAGGAAAAGGGAAAGAAACAATTTACTTTTTTTTTAATAACGTGCAAGCTCTTGCTGCAGCGTTTGCACTGAAGAACAGGCCCCAGTCCAGCTGGTGGCAGAGGCGTGGTGGTTAGGGTGGTTGGATCCCATATGGTCGACTATGTGGTTCGAGTCCTGGACCAGGCAGCTTGAAAAACACACCAGGCACCAGTGCATATGTGCCCAAAATCTCAAAAGGAGGGAGAAATGGAGGAGAAAGGATTGCACACACATCCCCTCTGGCAAACTAGAAAAGAGAGAGAAAGAGAGAGAGAAAGAAAGAACAAGTCTATGTTCTTGGCAACAGAGATTTGCACCTGGAATCACAAATGCAGTACCCCTGGGAACAGAAGAATATCCTGTCTTTCTATTTGGCAAAACATTCCCTTGTGGAAAATGCCTGGAATAATTGTCACACACATACAATAATGGTCTTGGCAACGAAGATTTAAATGTCAACCAGAAAGCTGTTGAACGTTTTGTATATAGTCCCCACCCAACACTTACTATGGCGTTAATGTGTGTACAGTGCTCAAAACAGTGACTGACATGGCAAAGTGTAACGTGTTTGCCGGTCTTTTCTAGAATTGCTTAGAATTACTATGTAAAAAAAAAAAAAAACAACAACAAACCAAACATGCATTCACTCAGTAAGTCCCCCTAAGCACCTACTGTGTGCCAGGTAAAGTGGTGTGTGCTGAGGTCTAATAAAGAAGGGCATGCTCCCTGCACTGAAGGAGCTGACAGTCCAGGCAGGAGAGACACTGATCACAGTGTTACATCCATGCGGAACTATGAGGTAAACTGGGGCCGGCAGGTGGTGTGCTGATCAAATTAAAAAAAAAACAATAATAACAAATGAAAGTAAATAAATATCTTTAAAGAGAGAGAGAGAGAGACCAGCAGTTAGCGTAATGGCTATGTTGCTGGACTCCCATAGTTGACCACGGTTCGAGTCCTGGACCCGGCGGCTTAAACTCACGTCGGGTGCGTGTGCGTGCGTGCCCAAGATCCTGAGAGGAGAATGGAGGAGGGAGAATGGAGGAGAAGGGATTGTGGCGCGGCCATCCCCCCAGGGGGTGATTTCTCGCTTTCAGTCTTTCTGTCTGTCTCTGTTTGTCTGGTGAGCGCACGCGCCCTATAGCAAAAACCTCTCAAAAAAAAAAAAGAGAGAGAGAGAGAGAGAGAGAAATTCTCCAGATATAAGACTAAATTCTCACGGGCCAACCCCTATAGCCTAAGAGGTTAAAGGAGTGGGATTCCATACGGCCAGCCACCATTTGAATCCTCACCCTAGCTTGAAAACATGCTGGGTGGATGTGTACGCATGCCCCGTACCCTGATGGGGTGGAGAAACGGAGAAGGGACTGCAGCCTCCGCACACCTCCCAGGAGGGGCTTCCTCCCTCTCTTGCTCACATGCTCTCCCTCGCTCTCTGGTGAACACATGTGTCCTATAGTAATCAAAAACAAGAAAGTCTAAATCCTATGAGATAATATAACAAAATGAAAGTTTATATAAAAAGTTCTTAATGAGTTACAAATGTCTTATAAATCCTTATTTTTAAAAGGTTCTCTCATAAAAAAAATTTAACAAAATAATGCGAATTTATTTTAGAAAGTGAGAGAGTACAGACTCAGCATCCCTCATCTGAAAACTCAAAATGCTAAATGCTCCAAAATATGAAACTTTAAGCTTGTTTATTTCTGAATGATAGAGAGTATACATGCACGGGAGCCAGCCAGCCAGGCAGTCAGACAGAAACGCGCTCGAAAGGAGCCCATCACGGCCCCTTCCCTTCTCTCCAGCCCTCTAACTCCTGAGGAGCTTGAGCAGCTGTGCACACCTGGCGTGTTTTCAAGCCTACCGGGAGATGCGAACCTGCGGTGGGCCACATGGCTTCCAGGACACTCGTGTTAGCGCTCTGATGCCAGGCCAAAAGTATATTTATTTATTTTTATTTATTTTTTTAAATTTTTTTCTTCTTTTTTTGGAGAGGTTTTTGCTATAGGGTGCATGTGCTCACCAGAAAGACAGAGAGAGACAGAATGTGAGAAATCACCCCCTGCAGGGATGGCCACGCCACAATCCCTTCTCCATTCTTCTCTTGGGATCTTGGGCACACACGCACACGCACCCAGCGTGAGTTTAAGCTGCTGGGTCCAGGACTTGAACCGCGGTCGACTACATGGGAGTCCAGCGACATAGCCATTACACTAATTGCTGGTCCCAACAGTATATTTATCTATTCCACAAGCCAGCGAGAAAGAGACAGAGAGAGAGGGACTGCTCCACGCATTTGTGGGTTACCCTTGCGCCAGGGTGATGCTCATGTTCTCTGTATCGTTCCAGTTTTAGCACATGTGCTGCTATAAGGAGCACAATCTGGAACTTTCTGAGTACCCACATGAGGCCATAAATGGAAAATTCTACACCTGACCTCATGTGATGGGTCACAGTTAAAATGCTACAATACAAAGACACTAGGTAAAATTACCTTCAGGCTATGTGTATGAGGTGCATGTGAGACATAAGAGACTTTCTTGTTAGACATGACTTCTATTTTCTTTCTTTCTTTTTTTAAGTTTTCCTATAGAATATGTGTGCTTGACACAGAGACAAAGAGGGGAAAAGTGAGAAATCACCCCCGTGGAAGACGGCCATGTCACAATCTCTCCTCCTCCGGTCACTTCTCTGGATTTGGGGTAGGCAGACACACACCTAGCTTGATTTTCAAGCCACTGGGTCTGGGACTCAAACCATGTAGTTGGCCATGCGGGAATCCAGCACCCTAATCTCCACATCACCTACTGTCCCAGGACTTCCATTTTTAAGATATCTCATTATATGTATGCAAATATTCCAAAATTTTGAAAAATCTGAAATCTGAAACACTCTGGTTCCATGTGTCTCAGATAAGGGATACTCAACTGTATTAATACCTCATTTTGGACTCCCATCCAATCTTTATCAAATTGAATACTGTGGTATCAAACCTAAAAAAGAAACTTACATCCCACTTAGTAAGTACACTGATTATTTAATTAGCCCAGCCTTGGCTTTTTTGTTAAGAATATTTGATAAATATTTACGAACTGAAAAATACTTATTATCTAAGTTATCTGTTTTTTCCATGAAGACTTCTAGACATCAAAGTCCCTTGAGGGGTGGCATATAATTAAGCAACCAGAGAACTTGGTCAGTTTTGCAAAATAAAGATATCACTAAAATTTTTAAGCTACTAAGTACAATAATCTGGACAGAACCTAATTCATAAATGCAGTAACTTAAAGCAGAATTTTCTAATTTGTCACACTCATACACTTACGATATCATTGGGAAAACACTTTCAAAAATAAGAGCAAAGGAACAGACTATTCTGAAACCATTTCCAGGAACAGGGTTTGTTTAAACAAAGTGCATTAAGTGAAACCAGCTGTATTAAGGGTCATGGCTGTCTGAAGCAGAATTCTAAAACCACCCACTTCACAGTATCAGGGTAATGACTCCTTCCTGGTGCTTGAAAGGAAACACTCATTCGCGGAGGAGCTATGGGACTTCATAGCAAGGAGGCCTTGACAGTGCACAGAAGGCCCAGCTGCAGTACAAGTGGGTGTACGGCCCCTGCAAGGCTGGAAGCCATGTGGCCCACCGCAGGTTTGGATCTCTCGGTGGTGCTCCCTGACAGTGTACAGAAGGCCCAGCTGCAGTACAAGTGGGTGCTCCTAAGCCAGGACCGAGTCACACCAAGTAGGCCAGCTGGCTCTATGCTTCCCCCACACATCAGACCAAGTGCTGAAGGAACACAAAGGCAGTCAGGACAAGTCAATTCCCTATTTGCTTTGCTCTTTTCTTTTTATTAAAGTACAAGAAAAGAGGGCCCTGAGGTCAGGAATAATCAGCATATTCTGCTAAAAGGTCTACCAGCAATCCTCTCACACAAAGTGATGACCAGAAAACTCCGTGAATTAAAAACCTGCTCAAGGAGAACTCTAAAACATGTACCTTTTTCACACCTAAAACTAACACAAATCTCAAGAAAGATGAACTTAAAAATGATAGCTAAGATTTTATTTAGAATAACTTTCCAGCTCCATGGTCTAATAGTTAAGAGAGCCCATCCCATTGACCAACCATGTGGTTCAAATCCAGCCCTGGCGGCTTGAAAAAAATATTGGGTCCATGTGTGGACGTGCCCCAAATTCCAACATGGCAGAGGAATGGGGATGAAGGAACTGGGGTGTGACCATGCCCCACTGAGGTGGTACTTCTCCCTCTCCCTCTCCCTCTCTCTCTGGTGAGTGCACACTCATACATTTTTTAACTTAAAACTAATTTTCCTTAACTTTATAGCCAAAGCACAAGTAAGCCCTCTTACTTGCTCCTCTGAGGACTTCCTAGTGGCAACATCTTAGTGGAGTCTACGACCAGTCAACAATGATCGCCAGCGGGGAAGTATCTCCACTATCGCCCAGCACAGCCAGCAGAAGTGCAATCAAAACAACGCAGCTGAGAAACACAACCACTGATCGTTTTATTTTGGAAACCAATTAGGGGACGATGAAGGGAGAAAAAACAGTGATTCATTTGATTTGATTAAATGTGGCCTTCAAACAATATGACAAGCTAGGAAATATGCATATTTCTACAGTCTAAGGTATCTTAAATTGGCCTTTAAAAAAAGATTTTTCCCAGGACCAGCAGGTGGGGTGGTGGTTAAGGCACTGGAATCCCACGTTGCTGGTCCTGGTTTGAGTCCTGGATCTGGCTGCTTGCTTTCTCACTTTCCCCTCTCTATTGCTCTCGCTCTCGCTCTCTCTCTGTCTCTCTCTGGTGAGGGCATGTACCCTATAGCAAATTTAAAGTAATAATAATGATAATATATAATTCTTTTTTAAAAAAATTCTTCCTGTGATTGTGAGCAAAACAAATAAAAAATGAACAAAATAAATCAACTTGCTCATAAAAGCAGTTTTTTGACCAAGACATATTCTGCTGGTTTTACAGATAGAAGACACAGTTTAAAAAAAAAGGACCTGAGACCTTGCAGCTTGCAGCATTTGCATCAACAAGGTAGCAATGAGTTATAATCCGATGCCGTCTATAGCGTGGTAGCCTTAGTTTGAAATTACACTCATTACCTGGGTTTATCTGCCTCTTCAAAATGTGTGCAAACCTCTGTACTAGCATTCAAGTCAGAGTGTGTAATTTGCAACACAGCTTGCATGGACTCCAGTTGCTTCTCAAAAAGTCTGAAACTTCTAAAATGTGTGGAGAGAATAATATCAGCAAATATCAAAGGTATAAAGAACATTCCAACTCTAGGAAAGCCTGATTAGTAAGGAAATGATCCACTACAAGTTCATGAGAGGGCCAGCCCATGGCCTGGTGGTTGAGGCAGCTGGATCCATAGCTGACAGCACAGCTTGAGTTCAGGTCCTGGAGGCTTGGGAATTATAGCGGGTGCATGTGCATGCATGCTCAAAATCCCCAGAGGAGAATAGAAAAGGGATTGTGGTGTGGCCATCCCCCAAGGGATGATTTCTCACATTCTCTCTCTCTCTCTCTGTCTCTCTGTCTCTCTGGCAAGTGCATGTACCCTATGGCAAAAACCTAAAAAAAAAAAAAAAAAAAAAGTCACTGCTCCTTACTAAGGTCTGTAAACCATTACTATGAGGAAGCAAGGTAGTATTAGTGCAGAGAGCATCTGAGAGGCCACAGAGAAGATAGGAGGTGCAGTCCCGGGGCTCTGCTACTTTCTAGCTTTACGACAACGGGCAGGTCGCTAGTCTGAGCACCACAGTCTTTTCCACACAGTAGAGATAATAGCTGCCATTTCATACGACATCAAATGAGGTGGTGTCACGTGATCAAATTTGCCAAGTGCAATGATGCAAACAGAAAGCACTCAACTCTCTCTTAACTACTCTATTCGGGCCAGCAGGTGACAATGGACATTAAAGTGGCTGGATCTCACCTGGCCAACTTTGTGGTTCAAGCCCCAGACCTGGAGGCTTGAAAATTATACCAGGCGTATGTGCATGAGTACTCAAAATCCCAAGAGGAGAATGAAGGACAAGGGACTGCAGCTTGGCCACCCCTGCTGGGGAGGAGGGGTAACTCTCACCTCTCTCTCTCAGGTGAGTGCACATACCCTATGGCAAATCGAAAGGGACAAATCCTACTCAACACTGTCCACGCATCTTAAACCCTCCTCTTCTCTCCTCCAGTTCAGAACTCCTGCCTTGTGCCATCCTGGGCCACGCAGCGAGCGGCAGAACTGAAAGACTATGAGGACCAACAGGGCAGGAGGCAGCTGATGGAAACACAACAGAAAAAGAAAACCATCAAGCAGTAAAATTAAAGCCACCCAGCAACCCTGCAGACACTGAGCGTTCTCCTGATGGACAGAGAGTCAAGGGTTCAGTCTGAGTCAGCCTAACTCCGAGGTAGGGGAAGGAAAACTGACATTGGCTGCAGGAAGCTTTCAGCAAGGTCCCAGAGGCTGAGGACAGTAGTGATGTGTCCTAGCAAAGACTGGGCCTTATCTCAAAGGGGAGCCCCAAGGCACCTCCACCTACTTCCCGGAAGGAAATGCTATTCTGTTTTTAACTTGGTTTCTTTCTCTCTTCTTGTCTGGTTGGAAGAAAAAATGATTTGGGTTTTAGTCCAGGCTTGTTTCTGAACAGTGTGATCTTTAGGCAAATTAACACATTTCATTGGGTCTATTTAAAGTCTTTTTAAATTTTAAACCTTCCTTTTTAGGATCATTTCCTGTCTTCCTGAGAATATCCTTTAGTGATGAGTTCTCAGTGGTGAATTCCCTTTGTCTTTATTTATCTAATGTCTTTATTTCATTCTCATTCTTGAAAAACAATTTTGTGGCTACACAATTCTAGGTTAATTGTTATTTTTAATGATTTTCTCTGCCTACTTTGAAAACATTATTCTACTGGGACCAGCAGTTAGTGTAATGGCTATGTCGCTGGACTCCCATGTAAGCGGTTCGAGTCCTGGACCCAGTGGCTTAAACTCATGCTGGGTGCGTGTGCATGCATACCCAGGATCCCGAGAGAAGAATGGAGGAGAGAGAACTGCAGTGTGGCCATCCCCTCTGGGGGAGTGATTTCTCGCTTTCTGTCTCTCTGTCTTTCTCTGTCTTTCTGGTGAGTGCATGTGCCCTATAGCAAAAACCTCTCCAAGAAAAAGAAAGAAAAAAAAAATAGTAAAAAATAAAATAAAATAAATAATTCCTTTAAAATATAAATAAATAAATAATAAATGACTCCACCTCTCCCTACAGGGAAAGGGGTCTGAAGGCCCAAGGAGATGTGCCTATCCAGAGCCCGACTACCTCCCCTCGGTATCCAGGACCCTGGAAT